GGCGCATCGCCAAGTGGATTGGGCGATGGTTCCCAGACCGCCCAAAGTTCCAATAGCTTCCCAGCCAAGGCCAGGAGCAGAGCTTCTCGCCGAGTTCATTGGGCGCATCACCGAGCCATTAGGTGAGCCCGACTTGGCTCACCCATTTCGGGTCATTTTTGGGCCTATCTATGTAATAATGCCTAATACTATAAATAGGCCTTTAGGGTTTCATTTTAGAATTAGACTATTCTGAATATTGATGAATGATAAATTTAATTCCTTGTGTGAGTGTTGAAAGCTTGGTAGGCTTTTGTTGAACATTGTTTAGAAACGAGGGTTGCTTGGGATATCGATTCCCTTGAGGTCTTCGTAAGAGGTAGGTGTTATTGTAGGATTAACAGATCGAGGTCATTGGGTTTAATATACCCTTTGATTGCTTTTTGTTTCCTCTTTGTGTGTCTATCTATTTATCTTGATTTGGTACTTGTTAGGATCTAGATTGGAGGTTATTGGATTTAATACATCCTTTAGTTGCCAATTGTTTCTTATCTTGTGTCTTTTCTTCTATCTTTCTTGTTTTCCGCTGTTTGTTGTGATTCTTCTAGTGAGAATTACATCAGGTCGGGTATTGGTAAGACTGGGTTGTGGATGATGGACCGTGAAGGTCACCACGGTCCATACAGTGGTCTGTGGAACTGACTTGGAGACAAATGACTTATATGTGGTTCACGAGAGGCTAGACGGTCCGTACAAGGCTTGACGGACCGTGAACCCTTCCGTGAACCTTTATCTTGCAATTTCCAGTAGCTCCCTTAGGTAGGTGCTAAGATTGACGGACCATGAAGTTGTCTGTGAAGGGCACCACGGTCCGTGAGGCTGCTCATAAAAAACGGACAGTCTCTCTTGCACACATCAACTCACAATGACTCTATAAAAAACAAAGAAAAATAAGGAAAAAGGAAAATACCTATTATAATTACATCTTGGGTTGCCTCCCAAGCAGTGCACAATTTAACGTCACGTCGCGATGCAGGTTACTTAATTACTCAAACTTCATCAAGTTTACATTCTTCAACTATCTTCACTTCTTCTGGAATGCCCAAATATGCCTTGATTCGCTGGCCATTGGCCTTGAACCTTTCACCCTTTTAATTTTCAAGCTCAATATCACCTGACTGAAACACCTACGTTACCTTAAAAGGTCCAGACCATTTGGATCTCAATTTTCCCGACAACAAACAAAGCTTGGAGTTGAAAAGTAATACCAAATCACCAGGAGTGAAGATTCTTTTCTCAATATGCTTTTCATGATATAGCTTCATCCTCTCCTTATATAGTGCAGACCTCTCATAGGATCTCAGACGGAACTCATCCATCTCATTGATCTGATCCAATCTCAGGTTTGCAGTTTCGCTCCAACTAAGGTTCAGCTTCTCCAAAGCCTAGAGTGTTTTGTGCTCAAGCTCAACTGGCAAATTACATGCCTTTCCAAACACCAATTGATATGGAGACATACCAATAGGCATCTTGAAAGTTGTCTGATATGCCCATAGAGCATCATCTAACTTCCGTGCCCAATCTGTCTTGTTGGCATTCACCGTTTTAGCCAGAATAGCTTTAATTTCTCTGTTGGAGACCTCCACTTGGCCACTGGTCTGTGGGTGATAAGGTGTTGCTACCTTGTGTTGTTTAACTCCATATTTAGTCAGAAGAGAATTAAATACCTTATTGCAGAAATGGGACCCGCCATCACTGATAATAGCTCTAGGTGTGCCGAACCTTGAGAAGATATTCTTTTTCAGAAAACCAGCAACACTCTTGCCATCATTCTCAGGCAAAGCGACTGCCTCGACCCATTTGGACACATAGTCCACTTCCACCAATATGTACTTCTGCCCATAGGAGCTCACAAATGGGCCCATGAAATCGACGCCCCATACATCAAACAACTCCACCTCCAGAATAGGTGTCATGGGTAACTCATGGCACCGAAAGATGGCTCCTTGCCGCTGGCACACATCACAACTCCGTACTATGTCCATCACATCCTGATGAATTGTGGGCCAATAGTACCCACACTGAAGTATCTTGTGGGCTGTCTGAGCACCTCCATAATGACCACCTACCGGAGAGGAGTGATAGGCTTCTAGAATATGCAACATCTCAGCTTCAGGGATACATCGCCTGATGATGTTATCACCACATACCCTGTACAGATAAGGTTCATTCCAAAAATACTTACCCACATCATGCAGGAACCTCTTCATTTTCTGAAATGTCAGCCCCTCAAGCATCAAATCACTAACAAGAAAGTTAGCAAAATCAGCAAACCAAAGAATAAGATCAAGAGTTGCAGCCAATACCTGCTCATCCAGGAATGCATCATTGATTTCTAGTTCACATCCCTCTTTCTTTTCAGCCTCTAACCTAGACAGGTGAGCAGTCACCTGGTTCTCACAACCTCTCCTATCCTTGACCTCAAAATCAAACTCCTGAAGAAGTAATACCCATCTGATTAACCTTGGCTTGGCATCTTTCTTTGACATGAGGTATCTCAGAGCTACATAATCCGTATGGACTATCACTCTAGTACCTAGTAAGTAAGCTCTGAATTTCTCAAAAGCATACACCACCGCTAGTAGTTCTTGTTCAGTGACTGTGTAATTTCGTTGTGCTCCATTTAGTGACTTACTAGCATAGTAAATTGGATGGAACATCTTGTTGCCCTTTTGCCACAACACAACTCCTAAAGCAGTACCACTAGCATTACACATTACCTCAAATGGCTCAGCCCAATCTGGGTCAATGATCACGGGGGCAGAAATTAGCTTTTCCTTCAGGCATTCAAAGGCCTAAGATATGCCTCATCAAAAATGAATTTCACCTCCTTCTCTAAAAGCTTGCACATGGGGTGTGCAATTTTGGAGAAGTCCTTGATGAAACGCCTATAAAATCCAGCATGTCCTAAGAAACTCCGAACACCCTTCACACAAATAGGTGGAGGAAACTTTTCAATCACCTCAATTTTGGCCTTGTTGACCTCTATCCCCTTTTGTGACACCTTATGCAAAAGGACTGTGCCTTCTTTGACCATGAAATGGCACTTCTCCCAATTAAGCACTAGGTTGGTCTCATCGCATCTCTGTAGGGCCCTGCTAAGATTAAGCAAACAATCATTAAAGGTATCACCTACCACTGAAAAGTCACCCATGAAGACTTCCAGACTGTCCTCCACCATATCTGAGAAGATAGACATCATACACCTCTGGAAAGTTGTTGGTGCATTACATAGTCCAAATGGCATATGTTTAAATGCAAAGGTTCCATAAGGACATGTAAATGTGGTCTTTTCCTAATCCTCAGGAGAAATCATTATTTGGTTGTAGCTAGAGTATCCATCTAAGAAGCAGTACCACCCTTTTCCAGCCAACCTGTCAAGCATTTGGTCCATGAAAGGCATCGGGAAGTGATCCTTTAAGGTCCACTTGTTCAACTTCCTATAATCCATGCACACTCACCATCCAGTGACTAACCTCTGCGGGACCAACTCATTCTTGGCGTTTGCAACCACAGTCATACCACATGTTTAAATGCAAAGGTTCCATAAGGACATGTAAATGTGGTCTTTTCCTAATCCTCAGGAGAAATCATTATTTGGTTGTAGCTAGAGTATCCATCTAAGAAGCAGTACCACCCTTTTCCAGCCAACCTGTCAAGCATTTGGTCCATGAAAGGCATCGGGAAGTGATCCTTTAAGGTCCACTTGTTCAACTTCCTATAATCCATGCACACTCACCATCCAGTGACTAACCTCTGCGGGACCAACTCATTCTTGGCGTTTGCAACCACAGTCATACCACCCTTTTTGGGCACACATTGCACTAGACTAACCCAGTGATTGTCAGAAATAGGGTACACCACCCCAGCATCTAACCACTTGATGATCTCCTTTTTGAGCACCTCTTGCATAGGTGGGTTTAGCCTCCGCTGGTGTTCAATGCTTGGGCGGCAATCCTCCTCAAGTTAAATTTTATAGGTGCATATACCTGGAGGTATCCCGATGATGTCAGCAATGGTCCACCCAATGGCCCTTTTTTACCTAATCAACACTTTGATCACAACTTGAACTTGTTCATCATTCAAATCTGTAGCCAAAATCACAGGTAAAGTGTTGTTTGCTCCAAAAAATACATACCTCAGGTGACTGGGTAACTGTTTCAGTTCCAGCACTGGTGGCTCCTCAATGGATGGTTTTGCTAGAGGACTTGGCCTGTTTTTCAAGTCCAGGTCCAATTTCTTTGGAGCATAAGAGTGTGCTCCCGTACCCTGCAAAGAATTCACGGTCTCTACATAGTTAGACCGAAAATCAGCTTCAAAATTCATCAGCACTGTGGCTAAGGTTTCAACAGCCAACCTCTCTTCAATGGTTGCTCCCATTTCTTCTTCATCAAAAACCTCTATTGCAGACACCACATTCATGGCATGTGGCTACTTCATGGACCTGAAAATATTAAACTTTACCTCTTCTTTATTGAATCTGAATATCAGTTCTCCTCGCTCAGCATCTACCAATGCTCGTCCCATGGCCAGAAATGGTCTTCCCAAAATAATGGGAACCTCAAAATCTACTTCGCAATCCAAGATCATGAAGTCTGTCGGAAAGATGAACGTGTCCACCTTTACGAGCACATCACATAGGATACTCATAGGTCGTTTCACTGACCTATCTACCATCATCAACATCATGGCTGTGGGTTTTGGAACTCCTAACCCTAGTTGTTTGTAGATGGCCAGCAACATCAAGTTTATACTGGCCCCTAAGTCACATAAGGCCTTTGTGAATTCGATTGATCTGATGGTGCATGGTATGGTGAATGCACCTGGATCCTCCTCCTTCTTCTGAACCAGAGATCTAGTAGCAATAGCACTACAGTGATGAACATTGTCATTTAAATCAATGCTTACAGCTCTTTTCTTTGTGACCAAGTCCTTCATGAATTTGGCATATCCTGGCATTTGCTCTAATGCTTCCACCAGTGGGATGTTTACTGACAGTTGTCGCAACATGGTGATGAACTTCGCAAATTTCCCATCTTCGGCTTTCTTTTTAAGCCTTTGAGGGAAAGGAGAAGGTGATCTTGGAATCTGCTGTAAAGGCATATTTCCCTCAACCTCTTTCTCTTTTCCTCTTGGGGATTGTGCTATTGGATGAGCATCCTCCAAGTCATCTACATGTTCCGCTTCATCCTCCTCTCTTTCAACTTGCTCTAATACCTGCTCATGTTTAGTACCTACAGAAATTGGGTCAGTATGGATCTTACCACTCCTGGTGGCGATAGCCATGTAATGCCCGTCCTTCTTAGGATTTTGGATCGTGTCACTTGGTAGTGACCCATTTTTCCTCTGATTTAACGAGGCTGAAAGTTTCCCCAACTGCTGCTCAATCTTCTTGATGGAGGTGGTATGAGAGTCTACCAGTTGACTCATACTAGAGAAATCACTTTTCATCTCTTTCACCCCTTCATCAGTTGATTCAACTTTTTGTATCACATTGGCCAACATGTCTTCCAGCTTAGACTTGCTGGAACTACCACTTGTCTGGTCTCTATTACCTAGGGCACATAGACACCACTTCAATCATTTTTGTACCCATCTCTATTCTGTCAGTTTCCCTGCTCTCTGTTTGTTGGCCTATCATACTATCCTTCCCTTGAATAGTTTCAACCTACATTTCCAAAATTGTAACCCTGGTTGCCCGAGTTATAATTCTGAATACCTTCTTGGTTGCCCAGGTAATTAGCCTCCTCATCTAGATCGATGTCTTGATCTTCATACCTGTTTGGCTATCCCACGACATTTACCTTTTCAGACTTGGAGACAATATGCTTCGTGAGTAGATCTATTTGGGTCCTTATGTGTTCCATATCCTGATCCCTTTCTTCTTCTCTCTTCCTTTGTTCAACTGAAAGTTCAAAAGTATACCCAAGATCTCCTACTTCTACATCCATGGTGTACCATGCCTTGTTATTCTTTGACACCTCGTCCATCAGTTGCATGCTCTCTGAGAATGGCTTCCTCATAAAGGATCCTCCACACACTGCATCAGCAACAGGTTTAGTCACATAATTTAAGAATCTATAGAATGCCTGTTTTAGATGTCTCTCAGTGAGACCATGGTTTGGACACTTCTTCAGCTTTTGGATGAATCTCCACCAGGTGTCATTCATTGCTTCTCCTGGTAGCTACTTATGGGCACTTATTTCATCTTTCATCTGCACCTCTTTTGATTCCGGAAAGAATCGTTCCAGGAAAGCTTCCTTTAGTTCAGTCCAAGTCCTTATTGAGTCATTGTTGTCTGGCTAACCCCAGGAATTTCTTGCGATTTGCAGATCGCCACAGAGTTCATCAAATGCTGGTTCGCATCATCACCAGTTGCACCTTTGAACATACCCTTCAAATTTAGCAGTTGAATCATAGTGCTGGTGATTGTGAATTTAACACCTAGAGGTTGTGCAGGTAACACTATTGCTCCAGTGGCTCCAGTTCCATCCAAGTCGAAGTCATCCTCTTCATACATCATATGAGCTGGTGGTTGTGCTCTACCCCTTGGAGCTATTGGTTGATGGTGGGGAGGAATGATTCCATCCACTGCTATGTTCTCGTCTATTGCCCTAGGTTGGTTGTTCACAACATTTGGCTGAATACCTCTTACGACGGTTTCAGCATCTAATCCAAATCTTTGTCTCTTTGCCTCAAGTTGTTGTGCATTCACCATTTTGCGGATTGTTTTCCAAAGTTTTGGATCGTATGGGACTAATGGGGCTCCCTTACTTCTGGTATTTGGCATACACAGTCTAACTCACCTGTAAGAGCCAAAGACAAATAATAAGATGTAAAATTAGGAAATTTAACTACACTTAGAATAAAAGCTAGTAAAACACTTCTGAATTGAAATTACCCGGTAGCGGTGCCAAAATTTGATACGTCCAAACTTACACATCAATTAAGAGATATAAACTATCGAAGTCAATTTATAGAACTCAACGTGAGTTGAGGTCGATCCCACAGAGAATTGCTTTACAAAAATGATTTCACTATCGCATTTTACTCAAATGTCGTTATTATTTCCTAAATAAACATTTACTGGAAGTAAAATGGATTTAGCGTTAACGGTTTGGTAACCAAAGTTGTAAACTAAAGTCTAATTCAACAATGAACAAAATATCAGTTTTGAAGTTGTTTCAATAATTAACTGAAACTAGGATTGTGTTCCCCATAACGTTGTGTCTAATGTTCTTGCGTAGTTGAGTTTCAGGAAATTTACCTCTAAAAAAATACATGTGAGTTAGCTATATCTGAGACTTCTCAGTCTACTCAGATAATCTTCACTCAAGTCCTCTCGGTACTAGAGTGTTACACGATTTACCCTCGCCTACAATGGTGTTAAGGTTCTTTTCTCTCAAACTTAAACCTTGACTCCACTTCGTCAGATTAATTTAACATTTTCCTAACTATCATTCTTCTCTCGAACAAATGACAGATACGGGCTCACATTATTATGTGCACTCATCAGAATACATGAATAACTAAAGCTAAGTTACAATTTGTAAACATAAATCGCCTTTCACTCATTTACGAAATTACATTTAGAATTACGTCATGGATCCCACAACCCCAGTTGTGGTATTTAGCCACTCATGATTTCACGTAAACAATCAGAAATATCAAACGAAAACATGTTTAGAAAGTACTTACCAGAATAAGCAAATCAACAAGCCAATTCGATAATTCAAGAACCGGAAATCCAAACTTCGAACTTAATTCAATGTTCAAATCAAAAATCACAAACTGAGAATAATGGAAAAATTTGTTTGTCGTTCAAGGTAAGATAAGATAAAAGATAAAAAAAAACGACCTAATTAATTCAAATAAGTGTTTCAAAAAAGAGTCCCACTTGAAGTAGGACTTGACTGTCGGGCCCTTCACGCCCACTTCTACGACCCGTCAAGGGCTTCACAGTCCATGAATCCCTTCGTGGTCTTCACTTGGATTCAAATAAAACACGTTATTCAAGCCTTGCACACTGTAACTTATCATGAACGTCGCCATGGGTCGTGGCACTGACCACGGTCCGTAAAGGTGCATGTGGTCTTCACTTGGTCACTTCCCTTTTTTAGCTTCTCATTGCCCATCAACTGGTTCAACTTCACGAGTAGCACCACGGACCGTTGAGAGGACCACGGTCCGTGAGGTTGGCCGTGATCTTTACTTGGTCCAATCTACTCTCAACCCTCCAAGGCCTCCACACTGGTTCACCTTCACAACAGGCACCACGAACCGTTGTGAGGACCATAGTCCGTGAGGTTGACCGTGGTCTTCACTTGGTTCAATCTAATCTCAACTCCTCCAAGGCCTTCCCACTGGTTCACCTTCACAATAGGCACCACAGATCGTGACAAGGACCACGACCTCTCTAGGTGCTCGTGGTCTTCAGTTGATCACCATCATCTTCTATTTTTGCATTTTTCCACACAAGCAAGAATCTATCTACACATTCAACAAACTCATCAAAGCATACAAAAATACACTCAATTCTAGTATTAATCTTTAGTTTTCAAGCATCAAATGTGCCAAGATTTTGCGGCACATCAATGCTAATAAAATATCAAAATTTCACATATTTTTCGTGACTACCTAAAAAATATCAAAAAAATTAATTCGTAAACGTCCGAAAAATATAAAAATCAAGAAAACACATAAAACCACATCAAAAAATTACTGAATCGCACCTGTCACCTTAGAATATCGATATGAATAAAATATCAAAATTTCACAATTTTTTCGTGACTGTCCGAAAAATATCAAAGTTTTGATTCGTAAACGTCCGAAAAATATAAAAATCAAGAAAAAAACATAAAAACACCTCAAAAGATTATCGAATCACACCAGTCACCTTAGAATATCGATGCGAATAAGATATTCAAAATTTCACATTTTTTGTGACTGCCCGAAAAATATCAAAAAGTTTAATTCGTAAACGTCAGAAAAGTATAGAAATCGAGAAAAAGACATTAAAACACCTCAAAAAATTCCTGAATTGCACCAGTCTCCTTAGAATATCGATACTAATAAAATATCAACATTTCACATTTTTTCATTACTGCTCGATAAATATCAAAAAATTTAATTCGTTAAACGTCCGAAAAATAGAAAGATCAAGAAAAAGATATAAAAATACCTCAAAAAATTCCCGAATGGCACCATTCACCTTAGAATATCGATACAAAAAAATATCAAAATTTCACATTTTTCGTGACCGCCCAAAAAATATCAAAAAATTTTAATTCGTATACGTCTGAAAAATATGTAAAATAAGAAAAAGACATAAAAACACCTCAAAAAACCCCTGAATAGCACCAGTCAACTTAGAATATCGATATAAATAAAATATTAAAATTTCACATTTTTTCGTCACTGCCGAAAAATATCAAAAAAATTAATTCGTAAACGTCCAAAAAATATAAAAATCAAGAAAAAAACATAAAAACACCTCAAAAGATTATCGAATCACACCAGTCACCTTAGAATATCGATGCGAATAAGATATTCAAAATTTCACATTTTTTAATACTAATAGAATATCAAAATTTTACATTTTTTCGTGACTGCTCAAAAAATATGAAAAAATTTAATTCGTAAACGTTCGAAAAATATAAAAATCAAGAAAAAGACATCAAAACACAACAAAAAAATCTTAAATTGAACCTATCACCTTAGAATATCGATACAAAAAAAATATCAAAATTTCACATTTTTTCGTGACTATCCAAAAAATATCAAAAAAATTAATTCGTAAATGTCCCAAAAATATAAAAATCACGAAAAAGACTTAAAAACACCACAAAAAAATTCGGAATCGTACCTATTACCTTAGAATATCGATACGAATAAAATATCAAATTTTCACATTTTTTCGTGACTGTCCGAAAAATATCAAAAGTTTTAATTCGTAAACGTCCGAAAGATATAAAAATAAAGAAAAAGATATAAAAACACGTGAAAAAATTCTCAAATTGCACCAGTAACCTTAGAATATCGATACAAATAAGATATCAAAATATCACATATTTTTGTGACTACCCAAAAAATATCAAAAAAATTAATTCCTAAACGTCCGAAAAGTATAACAATCTAAAAAAAGACATAAAAATACATCAAAAAAATCCTGAATTGCACTAGTTACCTTAGAATATCAACACTTAAAAAATATCAAAATTTCACACTATTTCGTGAATACCCAAAAAATATCAAAAAATTTAATTCGAAAAATATAAAAATCAAGAAAAAGATATAAAAATAGCTCAAAAAATTCTCGAAAGGCACCAGTCACCTTAGAATATCGATACCAATAAAATAACAAAATTTCACATTTTTTCGTGACTACCCAAAAAATATAAAAAAAATTCATTCGTATACATCTGAAAAATTTGAAAAATAAGAAAACGACATAAAAACACCTCAAAAAAATCCTGAATCGCACCAGTCACCTTAGAATATAGATA